AGCAGCTGTGTTGTGTTGGAAAAATCCATTAAGATAACGCTTTCTTTTAAAAACATTGTTTTCTTATAAAAGATATATATTAAAATAGTATTGTGAGGACAAAATAGCAATGTTCTATCTTTGAAGTTTAGTGGTTTACTTTTTATTCAAACAAATGCAAAAGTGGTATTTTAAAATATTGAAAATGTCTACTAAGGAATAGAAAGGGGATGTTCTCAAATGCATATTGTGGAAATTCTATCCTTTTTTTTATAAATAAAAACTACAGTATTTATGAGACAAAGCTTCCAAAGAATGTGATTTAAATGCCAAAACAAAACTAAGTATTTATTTTCAGAAGTTCATGGAGGAAAAAAAGGCAGTAGTAAACTCTATTTTCTTAATGCTACTAAACATCTACTGTACACGTCTCATTCATTCAGTTGTTCAATATTGATAGCTCAATTGTTACATTATTGAACAGACCTACAGTTCCAGTAACTACTGTATTTAGTGTGAGCATAGCAACCACACGCTTCTTCTCTGTTACATCAATGTTTTGTGTTTAGTTTGTTTCTTTATTTTACCCAGTATTATTAACTATTTGTTTGTCAGGGACTTGGGACTTATTTGCTACAGGTTGTGTGTCTTCTGTGTGAAGTCTTCAGTCTGCTTCTGTTAGTGACAGGTTATATATGTTATACACCTTTGGAAACAACATAATTTACAGATAGAGGCACTCAGCACACTATAGAGCATCAGACATAATCTGATGGATGTAAGTTTGAATCACTTCCATACTCTACATCAGACAAAACCATGGATAAGGTCTTAAGATAATGTTTTTTTTTTTGTTTTGTTTTCAGAGAGTTTGGGATATAATCAGCTTCCAGCTCCTTTGGAGTTAATTTCCATAACCCTCATCCTATGCTTTACCATAAGCCCCCTCCACAATATATGCACAACATTTATGCATTTATATTAATATATAATAATGATCTATTTATACATTTATAAACTATATATATATATTTAGATTTACAATTATGCATTTTATATGGACATGGGGACACAGTCCGAAGACTCTCTGTGGCTGTCAAATCCAACAAGCTAACAAATCCATTTTCAGCTAATTTTAATGTTCCCTCTTATCTCCAGGTTTAAACTCCTAGATCTGTGATTCTCCAGCAAATGCCTTTGTGGCCTCAATGCTAGCTGCTACCCTCCTTGATAGGAATTTCCTTTTGCAAAGTTCATTGTACATCATGTAGAAGCAGGATATCCAAGTTTTACAGTATATAGTTCCATGTAATCACTCTTCTTAAGAAAAATAATTAAATCCCATTACTGTATGTAACCCAAATATATTTAGCAAAGTATTTTAACCATATTTGCCTAAGAGATAGAGGTGTTCAGATGATTTACTGGGAAAAGTTTCAAAGTACCATTTCATTAAAATAAACAATGTACAGTAGTGTAGAAAAATAATTCTAAATGCATTGTAAAGACAGAAATCATGACAAGGTAAACACAATGTGGTTTCTCATCATGGTGAAAAAATATATTATTATTATTTATATATTCATTGTTATGAATATTTCTTTATATAATTATATTATTATTATTATTATTAAATTATGGTGAAAACTGTGAAAATGCATATACACATTGTACACACAGATAAGTGTGGATCAGCACATAGTAAATATTTGAGAAAAAACGAAAGAAATTCCCTAAATTCCTGTAAACACTTTGGATCCCTGTAAATCTGTTTGTGCCTGAACCTCCTGGTGAGAACCAGTGTCACAGCAACAATACAGTTACATTCTGTTGCACAAATTCTCATCCATGACCCAGTGTCCTGTGTCATTGTATTTTGTACAATGGTGTTGTTGTCTGCTTCTCTGAAGGATAACGTTTACTTCAAGAATGCAGGTGGACATTGACGGCAATATACAAAAGCGTTTCAGGGAGCAATGTACTAAAGATAAATCCTATTCCAATTAATTTTCCTCGACATTGTAGTTTCTAATTCATCCTTGAAAACAGGAAGTCTGAAAAGTCAGGTTTTCTTTGCCTTTGGGTTGATTCATTAATCCATGTGTGAAGGGGCAAAGGCATGTTTTTTTAAACAAAATACCAAAAATACCACAGTACTTTAACAGCTTTAAGATTGGAGAATTGTTCAGCTAGAAAGCTACTACGTAGATGTAGATGTAGATGTTGGCAGCTTTGTCTTTAGGGTTTAGATAAGATAAGATCACTTTATTGGACATATAAAATTTGTTGTATTAGGAATTTGTCTTTTCGCATATACCAACTTGCTCTCCATGAGACACACAGACAGGGAGAGAGGCTTGGGGTCAGTGCGCAGGGTCAGCCATTTATATGGCTGCTCCTGGAGCAGTTGGGGTGAAGGGCCTCGCTCAGGGGCCCAATAGAGTAGGATTCCTCTGCCAGCCGCAGGATACAAACCAGCAACCTTCTAGCCACAGGCACAGATCCTGAGCCACAGAGCCACCACGCCACCCTTTGCACAATTGTGCACAATAAGTTTGCAGAATTCTTCAGGAATTATGAGAATATGAAAATCACAAAGGTTACAAATAGGTTACAATACATATACAAATCATCCTACAGTATTTGGCTCATTTGTCAGAGTGCTGAGATGGACTACCAGCCTACCCTGCCTTGTGCTTGTTGCTTGCCACGTAGGCTCTGGCTTCCCGCAACACCATACAGTATGGTATAAAGCAGTTTGGCAACTGACATGACATGACATGACTTCTAAGTGATCCAAGAATAATTTCCAGCCATTTCTAGAAAGAAGCCAGGGAGTCACCTTCAACAATATGTTTGGCTTCTTGTTGTAGACCCCCACAACCCTTTGTATAAAACAGGACCTCCTGGTCACAGTTCTGAATGTACAGTACCTCCGTATAGTTTCTGGTTTGCCCTGTGTCCCTTGGTTGGTACTGTATTTCACAGTTCGCTCAAATCCAGTGGAGTTTGTCAGTGCTGTTGAGAATTTTGAATACAGATTCCTTTATAGTTCTCTCTGTTCAAGTCTCAAAAGTCTAAAACATTCTAGATCTTTAAATATACATCCTAACATTCTGTTTGCTTTTAATTATTGATTCTCTATATAGCCTAGAAGACCAAAATGATGTGAAGGTAATCATTGTTGTCTTGTTCATCTCACATCTGACAGATGTTTGCACATTATTTCCTTTTTAACCTCTGCTGTATTTGCTATTTCATCTACAGTATTTTGGAGTCATTCAAGCACCTGACTAGTTTGTTAACTATACCAGAATTATTTATATTAATTATTGATAATGTCATATCCAAATAATTGATTTATAATAAAGGAGCAGTGGTCTTGTCTATGACATACTTATTAGGTTTGAGCCTTGAAATATAATAATACTATTTATGTTTATTAAACAATAAACTGCATAATGCAATAACAATAAATACAAGATCAAACAATAAAAGGAATAAGATAAACAGAACAGGAGGCAATGAGTATGAAAGTATTATCTAATGAAGAGCAGAGATCAATCCAAATTCAATTTAAATAAAAGAATGAATCATTTAATTTCAAACTAATCTTTTTCAGACATGATATAGTCTGATATAGTGTAATGCAGTATGTGTAGTATTTAATATCTGTTAGATTATTTGCTGTCATTCTATTTTACAAACAATTCAGTGTATTAAAGATTGAATGCTAGTTCAATTATGACATACTGCATGCATCCTCAAAGAATGGAAGTACACATGGGTATACATTGCTGAAGTTGTGGAAAATCCACATTCCTGAATGTTTTCATTATACAGGTATGGGACAGCAAACCAGCAATACATATTATAAATACACATTTAAAACCTTAATTATATGGAAGTATTCATGCTACATTTTTATGCTTTGTAGCTTTCAGATTTTTTTAACTCATAAGATACACTCACTTCCTGGTTTTCAGGTATATATTTACTGTCCACAAATGAAAACAGCATTTCATTGCATCACATCTCAAAATGGACACTAACTTTTTAGCGGATGTGTTTGGTTGTACGTCTAATATAGTTATGCCCTCTGCTTTGACAGCTTTTTGCTCTGCCTAGTTATCAGTTACTGAAGTATGTGACACCCTCTAGTGCTCAGCTTTCTATAAGCAGATTGATGTGGTAGCTACACATTTTGTAGAGTAAGGACTGCTGCTAAGAACACCTGTGATACAGGAGACCTTCTGTTAATGAGGGGGCGTATGTGTGATGTTCAAGATAAGCTGGCTGGACTTACTGCACATTATAAATGACCACTAAAGAAGGAAGAAGTTCCTTGTCTAAACGAATTCACTGTATCAAAATGTGCTGGGCTCGAATTCTGAAGCACGCAGGCATGTTGTCTGCCACAGGGCAGAAAGATCAGTGACAACAACAACAGCAGAAAGGAAGCTGAGTCTGAGAGGCCGGGTTTATTCAAATCATAATGTGGCTTTGGCTTAACTATTTACTTGCATGTGTAATTCTTTCGATTATTTTGTGCAAATAAATTTGGATAACAATGTAAAGAGGTGGCGAAATTTTACAAATTTGAAAACAATAGTCACAGGGGATTAAAAACCTGGTAAAAACATGATCATCAGGGAGGATTGATTATCATGTGAACTATGCTGCTCAAAAAAAGTGGCATCTTTTTATACAGAAAGGTTTTGGGAATCTGGAAACACCCTTCCACACCCTTGTTGTACAGTACCTGACTCCCTGACTTCTGGATGAGATCCTCGTATAACCTAACAGAAACTTAACATGCAACGTGGCCCAAATGGCCTATTGAAACCTAAACGGTTGCGGCTTCTTTAGGTTCACAGAAAGCATGTTTGAAAGAAAAGTGCTGCAGTTCAACAGTTACTTATAAAGCCTGATTGGTTGTGTGATCGAAGTATTGCCGGTTTCTCTCATTCTCAGTTTCTGCTTTCTCTAAAATAGCCTTTTCCTGTTTTTTCTTTTCCCAGAAGCACCACCGAAGGAGGATGAGAATGGAGCTGTGGAGTCCTTTTCTGATTCCTCCTTGTTTGCACACTGGGGTCAGGACCTTAGCCCTGAGAATCGGAGGATTGCACTGAAGAAATTCCAGTACTACGGATATAATGCATACCTTAGCGATCGACTTTCTCTAGACAGACAGATACCTGACCTCAGACCTGAAGGGTAACCTATTAGTGCACTTCTTGATCACGGTTGGATCTTTAAACATAAATAGTGAAAGAAAACTCTAGAGAAATCTCAGAGAAAGGGTGATACTTTGTGGTTGAAATATACTGTACAGGTATTCACATTTTCCAATGCCCAGCCATCATTTTTGCTACTTCATTTATTAAAGTTCACGTCCTCACTTAATTAAAAAGTATAGATAGCACTGCATCTTTGTGCATTGCTGGTTTTTGATTAATTGGAAATTATTTTCAGTGTTAGTGCTTTTGAATGAAACACTGTAATAGCTTACTTACGTTTTCTGCTAATAACTCTAAGGAGGTACAGTAATAAGGAGGTATTGTCCTCATGGGCTTCTTTACATTTTAAACAAAATGAAGAATACCTTAATCTTGACATTATTTTTATGTCAAAAGCCCTCTAGGATTAGTGTCAGAGTTTTAAAAAATCCACAAGAAACTGTTGAACTTGTATTAGCCATTTTCAGTTTTAAATCCTATCACCCATCCACCCATTTTCCAACCACTTCTTTCAATTCCGGGCTGCAGGAAGTCCTGTTGTGTGGCTCTAAGTTAGATTGTCAATCTCCTCTCAAGAAGTGTGTGTTTCAGTGAGGAAATATATGCTTCTACTTAGTCTTGCCTTCAGACGAGGCTGCCCTGAAGCCACACTGACCCTTGTCTTGTATTCAGCAGCCGTTCACAAATAATTCCTGAAGAGATACTGTATATCTCGGCACACAGGAATAAATACATGTTCTGGTGCTCCGTGCTCGGAATGACTATAAAATCCTCATACAGTATAGAGCTGTCAAACAGACCATCTATCATTAAAAAGTTTCCAACAATGAAACATAAAAAGAACACAGGCTTGAATAAAAGTAAATCTTGAAAGCAGATTTTTTAAAAAGAAATATGTTTTTTAATGTTGAATGTTCATGTGCCCCAGGCGATTTTGATATACTGTACAACTAGTATTCTGCTTTCACAACCATTAGTGAAATTCTGACTTGGTTACTTTTGAACTTTGGTGTCGTGACTGTCCTTGTTGAGGTCTTCTCTACCCTTAGGCTTAAAGTTAAGGTCTAAGTCCAATCATAAATCACCTACCTGTTGTTACTGATGGCGCAGTGCGCATGTAATTACATTACTGTTGATTCCTCTTAAGATTTGGTTTTATTTCCCGCTTAATGTCCCCGGGCCATTGACTGGGCAGCGTCTGGTTGAAATAGCCTAGTTCCATTTGGTACCAGTCAAGTGTAGCAATAAAGGCCTGCAAAAAAAAATTACATGATGTCAGAATAACTCATTTGGAAACTGGTTCATGTGGCAGAACAGCTAAATAATAAATTCTAGATTCCTGGGCTCCCCCTGGTGCTGTTCTAGTCTGCATACATTTTCTCATGTGGCAGTTGCTGAGGGACACTGTGACTCTTCTGTTCCCCCGGTGGAGATCCCAGACGAAGTGCAGAACTACTGTCTTTTGCCCACCAGACCGTCCAGGAAGGTTTTGTTTCAAACTTTGCAAGCTGCACCATGAGTGAGTTAGCATTTGGATTTTTAAACACTCAACTGGTCCACTGTACCAGAAAAAAAACTTTAAAGTGGTGAAAACATACCTGATCATTTTCTGCACAGAACAGAAAAATGTTGCTCTGATGACTGGGGTTTTTTCGTGTTAATGGACAGCTATTACTTAATTACAGTAGCATCATTAATTCTTCTGCCTATTTGAAAAGAAGCTCTACTGTGTGGGATTCTGGTTGTGGAAGTGGAACAGTGCACCAGTGGATAGGCAAAAGCTGACTTATTCCTTATGATAGTTTTCTGTGGTACATTTGCCATGGGTTTGTCACAATTGTACCATGGTCTCATTGTGGTACTACACTATACCATGGGAATACTATGGTGCCCCATGGTTCAGTGTAGTAAAGCATTGTAAAACCATTGGAAACCACAGAAGATCCATGGTCAAATCACAGTAATACCTCTGGAAAAGTGCAAAAATTCATGGAAGTCCAGATTGGGTGCTGACCATCTGCTTAAAATGCTCTTGCATGGAGTTAAATTCCAGGCCATCCAGTCTATCCCCATTGATACAAGACTTCTCAGTTAAGAAGAGCTCTTAAGAACATGTGGATAGGATCACAGGGTTGAGAGCAAAAATGGCAATGCGGTTTCTGTCATATCTACTGTATGTCATGTGAATCAGAAAGTGCTGGGAATATACTCTGTAATGAATGCAGATCTTTTATAGCAATTTATTTAAGCTGTTTTTAATCAAGGAAAAGAGTGGTTCATAATAAAAAAAAAGATTAAAAAACATCTTTGGCTTTCTAAGCTTTGATAGTAGGTTAAGAATGCTAAAACCCTGATGGAAAAGGCAGTTAAGCTAAAGCAAAGTGGTTAAAATTCTGATTTAGATGTTTTTGAAAACAAACAGAATAATACTAGAATAGTATTCTAATATAATATTTGCCTGATAAATACATCTGATTTAGATGCTTTTGAAATTATAGAATATTATTCTAGACTATAATTTCCTTAAGAATATTAATAGATTAATATGTCTTGTTACTAGAAGTTTGCGGTATTAAGCAATCATAATAAAAAAATATTATTTTTTTAATGCAATTTGATAATTTTAATTTTGCTTCTGGTGCAATTTAATTTCCTCTATAGGAAAGTGTACAGCCTAAAAGATATTTGAAACACGTACAGTACTCCAGGGAAAGCAGATAATTTTTCTTTTGTTCATTATTTTATGCTACATTTGTCCTTTTGAAACATGGCTTCATCTTTCAACTGTGTGTCTTATTTTCACATGCATGCTAAACCACCTCCTCCTCAGTTTTGCCTTATAGAAGACTGCCTACTGTATTATCGTTTAATTTGATCCAGGTACATCTTAACTAGCAGCAGTAAATTGACAGTCAAGGAGGTGAAAACTGTCTTTCTATAATAATGGATCCCCATTTCTGTTTGGATTGTTAAGAAGACGGTGGTAACAGTAGTGCAAAATGCCAGGGCATTTAGTTACAGTTATTTCAGCACCTAGAAGAAGACACATAAAGATGTCAGAACACATTTGCATTCAGTGCAAACTGATTTGCCCTTGTGTCATTCCACTGAGGTGAATACATATTAAGGCAATTCCTTTCATAGACATGGAGAATTACTGAGGATAATTCAGATCATCAAAGATGCTTTGTTTGAACAAATTTGAAAACATTCACTTAGGGTACGTTTGTACTGTGAAACATAGTTCTCCAATGGGAACTATGTCAAGAGCTAATGAGGTTAATGTGAAGAGGTTTTAATACATAACAGATCCCGTTAATTGTTCCTCATATCTTAATATTCAAGAGACAATTAAATCTTTGAGAGATACTGGCATTCGTTCAATACTAAAATAACAAAAAGGGCACTTTCTGCTGTTTCCATGTTACTGTGGCAACAGTTGTCTTACCTTTAATAACACAGTACGTTTTAGAGCATAAGCACTGCAGAGGTCATTTTTTCCCCATCTACAAAAGTACATAACATTGTTATCATGTATAGACAGATCCCTCCTTAGGCTATTAAAGCTGAAATGTCAGATATTACCTGTCAGTGAAATGGATTTAGTAGGAAAATGTAAGGGAACAGCTTCTTTGAGGGTGAGAGATCAACAAAGGACTTTTGCCAGTACAGACCAATTAAAGGATCAGTCCTTAAAACATTTGTTAACTGGTAAAATAGCACCCTTACTCCTGATATATTTTGTAGAAGAACATATTAATTGATTTTATTGTGGTGGTTTCACTGCTGTGATCTTGGCTGTGATGTGTGATAAAGTGAGTTTCTCTCACACAAACAATATATATTTTACAGGATGTTTTATATCCTAGAGATTTTATACAGGATATTTTTACTCTTCCAGAAAAGAAAACACTAACATTAATAGTTTAGAAAGCTTTTGCTGTTGGAATTAATTATATAGTATGTATATACAACATTGTACTCATACTAAGAGATAACTGAAATTGGATGAATGGATATATGTTTTTGTAGTGATTTAAGACTTATGTTTCAACCCCAACAGTCACTTTAACAACCATATTATTTTCCTAGTTTGAAACACTGTATATAGGAATATTCTTAAGGTTGTTCACAATAGATTACTCAAACCCTGCCCACAATTAAAGATACAATTACCTGTCAAACACCCTAGATCCTGATTAGAAGAATTACAAATGGTGTATGTGGTTAATTAAATAGTTAAACCAACTATGTACAGTAACTGACAGCTCAGGTGGAGCACATTTCAGAAGTCAATAGGCCCCACAAGAATTGCCTTTGAGACCCTGGTTTGAAGCAACTGGTAAGAGATTACATTTGAAATGATTTGCTGACTGTAGAATCCATCAGTTATACAACCAAATATAATTTCTATTGCTGAGCAAGAGCAAGCACTCACCTAAGATTATTTTTATTATAGCTTATCTGATATCCTTTTAATCACCACATGCTTTTTGTAAGTAAAAGGTTTTTTTTTGTTATTTTTTTTTACAGGTGCAAAAACATTTCATATCCCACAAATCTCCCACAGGTCAGTATCGTGTTTATTTTTGTAAATGAAGCCCTGTCTGTCATCCTGCGATCCATTCAATCTGCCATTCAAAGAACTCCCACTCACCTACTGAAAGAGATTGTTCTGGTGGATGACAACAGTAGTAATGGTAAGTGCCTACCTTTTTAAATCTTCTTCATTTTTGTTTACTAAGGAGTACAATTAATACACTCTCACAAATGAATATTTATATATATGTGACTATTGATATCACACATAAAGCAAAAGATATCAAGTGGAACATAACTCTTCATTTTTCAGTAATTTTAAAGAAAATCTACATTGTTGTGCTTCATTAAAACAAAATCTTACCAACCGTTTTTTTCACAGCTTCTGATTAACTTTTTGTCTCTCTGTGAACATGACTGGTTCCACAGGTTTTAGATCTGAATGCACAAAAATGCATAAGATTGAAACAGGTGGGCTGTGCTCCACCGCTAATAAACAGTTAAAGAGGAGTACTTCTAGGAGTCAGTAATTGCAGGGAGTTTGAGTCAGAACTGGATGGAATTGAAAGAAAAGAAGAGTAGAAAGCAGAGCTTTCCTAAACTGTGTGGTGTGGCTCACCGGTATACCATTAAAAGGCTTCAGGTGTCCCATGGAACCAAGAGATCAGGTTTAGAAAGTACAATTCAGGAGCCTTATATAAAGTAGCTCTTTCCAGCACTGAACAAAATATTAAAGTTATGTTTGTTGTAACAAGCTTGCATTTTTTTATTGAAATTCTAGCAAAAAAATTCAAGTAATTAAAGTTTCAATAAAATTGTAGTCTATTTTTCAGTTCAAAATAATAGTTCTTGCAATAGTAAGGCTGAATATTTTAAAATCATTCAGTGGTTCATAAAAAGTCTGGGATGTTAAAAGTGTGATGAGAGCTGGAAATATTTGCGAAATACTTTTTTAAAGCACAGAGGAAGTGTCACTCACTTTTGACAAAAAACTGTACTCTGAGTAACTCAATGAACTATTCTCTATAAAGACATGTTAATAGAAAAGGTCATGAAGACCTTGGTTGTGTTTATAGCCTGAGGTTCATCAATTTGTTCATGTACACCTCCAGCCAGGTTCGTCTGTGAATCTTCCCCTGGGCACATTAGTGTGGGTAATGATGCCTACAACCTTAAAACTTCTTCCAGATTCTGGTCTGATTGGTCAAAACACTGTGGAGAAAATACAGAGGGATTTTAGGGCAGAGTTACTTGCTGATTTAAAAGAGCACCTCAGGCTATGCAAGATAGTCAATAGAGCTAGTTATGGAATAGCACTACATTCCTACTGAGACTAAACATTCCTTGGGATACAACCTATTGCTGCTCTCCACTTTCATATTACATTTTCAAAGACTGTGCATTGTGCCTGTTGTCTGTTCCCCCTTAGACTGGCTCTGGAAATCTACAGCATATTCATTACCTTATCAAGGTAAAACTAATGGTTAAAACAGACAGCAATGAAGTCTTTAGCCTCCTTTTGGGGGCTTAGTATACCTAATGCTACTTAAGTTTCTATAAGCTTTTCACTTCACTGGAGGTAAATAAAGACGGTGCAGGAATTCCCTTTTGGAAAATAAAAGCAGTAAACAAGCACAGTTTTATTTGACAAGTTTAGGAGCTCTTTAATAAATATTTCCACAAATTAAATTCTTGAGTTTGTCAATTATATCTGATTTTTAGCTGGAATCTGGATTAATCACTGTTGTACTTTATAAAGTAATTACAGTCAAGGACAGAAGTCTTCCCATCTTATTATAAAATAACATGATGACCGAAGATCCATAGCAAAACAGTATATTCACATTAAATGTCAAAGAATAGGCAAGGTTAAAATAGAAATGTTCATACATACTAAAGCCTAAGAAGGTCTATTGTATGCCATGTTCTGTAAACTTTAAAATGTATTCCACAACTGTATTTTACTAGCTTCTGTTTTTTATTTAACATGATAACAAACATTTCAGTAAAACGTAAACAAATTGATTAAATTGTTTATCTTCCTACTCCATTGTAAAACAAGCTCACCAATTCTAATTTATTGTAAGTGCTTCAGCTTCCAGGCAGATAGCACTAAAGCCCAAACTTGCCTTGAGCAGTAACATCATAATTAACATTCTGGAAATACAGCACACAATTCATGAGAAATTTAAGGTAAATTTGCCCAGATTATTGCTGGTGAATTGGATCATATGTTTATTCCATGTGTCTTCCAGCAGGGTTATTCAGTGAGGCAGCCCAATTGCACAAGCACCTGAATGACTGGAGCCAGTCCAATGTAATTAAATTTTCTGGACTGACACATTATTTAGTACAATGAAAAAGACCTCAACTAACATCAGTGGGGAGTTTTAATACAAGACAGAATTCAAACATCAATAGATGGCTTAGTCAGTCTTCAGAGAATTCAATTAAGACAACCTATTGGTATTCCAGCAAAACTGTAACCTTCAATGAATAAAACCTTTACGTTTAGATACAAAACATGCAACAGTCTGACTGCTCTGAAAAGTGTAAGTGCCAATTAGCTTTATTAAGCTTACCTTTCTGCCTGCCTTTAACATTTCCTTCCCATATTAAAGCATTTCATGTAGATATCTGATTTATTGTATTGATGCACCTTTGCATGAATGGAAAAATAATTTTGATACCAAATAGCTGAAAACAATTAACTGATAACAATCCTAAAACCTGTCCCACCTTATTATATATTGCTCATCCTCTTTTTTTGTCAGTCATGTCTGAAGTTCTATCTCCCATGCACTGTGTGGATTGATCCAGTACTGTGCACGTGCAGAATTTACATCCTGACAAGGTCACTCACCACCACTATCACACATCTTGCTGATGAATAGCTACATTAAGAATTCAGTTCATAGGGATGCTTCCTGTACTTTCTCGTTGAATACAGGGATTTTCATACACTCACAAAGGAAAATAAAAAGAATATGGCTAAAAGCATAATACAATCAAGTCCAAGACTGTGCTCGATAAGCAAGCTAATTGGGGTGCTGCTGCCAATAAATCATTGTAAAGCCAAGGAAAGCACAACACCTGATATAAATTATTTTAAAATACCATTGTATGCGTTTCAATCTTAATGCATGCCTTGTCTTCCTGTGCACCAGGGACACTGCGTGTGTCTGCACACCAGGGATGCTGAGGTACCCTGCGTGTCTGAGCTTGCACCGTTAAAAAGTGAGAGCTGCACTGCTCCCTCCGCTGATCGGACCTCTCATGTGGCGTGTACAAACCCATAAGTCTTTCAGAAAGAACCTTTCAAAGGACGTTGTCTTAATGTCTTTTAACAGGACCTGAGGTACAGGAAAGCAGATTTTGTTCTTCTGACTCCAAAGAAGAGAAGAAGGTTTTTTTTTGTCATGCCAGAACAACTAAGTTGAATAAAAAATCACGATTTCACATTTAGGAGTTGTATGAATTATTATGAATCCTAATTTGAACACACTTTAAATACGGAATGGAATGGGTTCCAATTTACATTTTATGAATTATAAATACAAAAATAAAAATGCAAAGGCCAGCTTTCTACTGAGATATTTTAATGACTAAATTAATAGTGCAGAGCAAATTTCACAATCAAACTTTCCTAACCTTGTGCATTTACTAGCCTAATTGCAATAAACAAGTCCCATTTTTGTGATCACAAAGCCGTTTCAGTAAAATCCCCACCTAGCTTCTAGCTATCCTTGACAGCTCTTGCATTGCGATTTTGACAAGGCAATTTTCTTTAATACAGTTAATTAATTTAAAGAAAACTACTGTACTAAAATAATTACTGCAAATAAGCTGTGAGCATTGCCAATCACTAGGGCAGCACGTAATGGTAGGTAGGTTATTAGTAAAGCAGAAAACTTTTAATTCAAAAATCATTTTATAGATCCAGAGTCTGTTAGGAGTCACGTGTTAGTCCCAGAACATGAGGTTTCAAATGCAGAGCACATCTCTCTGATTTACAGCATTGATCATGAAATGGGGCAGTAATGGTTAGAGTAATAGGATTGCAATGTTTAATTGCCGAGCATATGTCTTATTTATGACACTGGAATATTGAGGAGATGTATAATCATTAGAATAACAAAATTACTTGTTTAAATTCAAAGCATGCCTGATATCTACAGAATAGGCAGTATATCAAAGAGGTAACAGATGAGAAATAAATACATGGTTTAACCCCTCAGAGTCAAAGATTTGTTATTCTGCTTATCATAAATCTGATATCATGTCTTCTTTGGCAAGTTTACCATACAAAATCATAACTCTTCGCTCTAGTCTCTCTAAATATTTAATTAAACGGAATCTGTTGAGGATATTAAATGCATTATTTTGCTCTTGCTATTGTAAATACCGCTTATTTCTGAACTAATTTTCATCCGGTACTGTTGTGATGGGTAATGCAGAAACCAGATTTGAAAGTGTGCTTCATTTAAAAATGTCTAAAAGTCCTTTCAGTCACTGTCATATCTAAATTCATATAATAACTTAATGTAAGTTTAACTTTCTCTAAAAAGAGAATGTTAAAACTAAAAATATGCATTTAAAGTCCAAATTCCATACACAATTAGTTGATCATTTAAAGACTTTTTATAGTTACTAGCAGTTGTTTTGCTTAAGTTTTTTTTTCTAAGTAATCCCAGTGCAGTATAGAATATTGCATAAGCAGTCATTGCTGAAAGCAAAATTGTTCAAAATGTATATTTCTTAGCAAAAGTATGAGCTTTGTTTTTGGTACCAGAATCCCAGGTGATGAGGTGAGGAGTTTATTTCAAAACTCATTTGTATATGAAAAGAGCTTATGCAATCACCCTTTAAACAACATTTCCCACTGCAATGGGTGTCACATTTATTTAAACAAAATACATTTCACCCACATATGTATATACAAGAGGCTTTGAAGTTAAGATCACTGCAGTTAAATTATTAAGAGATCATTAAACTCAAATCTTAGTTATGAAGCAGCAGCAAAGGCAATCTTAGAAATGAGTTCTGGGGACCTTTATAGCAGAAATGCTGTTTGTTCCCTGAAGGAAGCCTGGGGCAAGTAAGTATGGTTCAGAGTACATACAGTATATTTTTGTTATTAATGAAGTTATGAACGCAAGTC